AGGGACGTCACTAGGGACCAGGACCGCCGCATGTGATGTGACGCACACCCCTGACGAGGGACGTCACTAGGGACCAGGACCGCCGCATGTGATCTGACGCACACCCCTGACGAGGGACGTCACTGGGGACCAGGACCGCCGCATGTGATCTGAAACCCTCGGTCGCGATCTGCAGCTCGTGTGATGGCCCGCTGCCCCCATCCGTGCCATATGTGAAACCGGCTGGTCCCAGGCTCGACCCCACTGCCCCCATCCGTGCCATATGTGAAACCGGCTGGTCCCAGGCTCGACCCCACTGCCCCCATCCGTGCCATATGTGAAACCTGCTGGTCCCAGGCTCGGCCCCACTGTCCTCATTCGTGCCGTCTGCGACGCTGGCCTGGTCTCAGATTCGGGCCCGCTGCCCCCATACGTGCCGTCCGCTGACACTAGCTGGTCCAAGGTTCGGGCCCGCTGCCCCCATACGTGCCGTTTGTGAACTTAGCTGGTCCAAGGCTCGGCCCGCTGCCCCATACGTGCCGTCCGTGACAACGGCCTGGTCCCAGGCGCGGGCCCGCTGCCGGCCGCCGCCCAGCGGCAATGGTGTATCTGGTGCTGCTCGTGCCGGTGGCGGTGGTGGGCTACACTGGCACTGACCGCCATTCTGTGCCTCTGCTATGTCAGCCGTTCTACCCCAGGTCGTGCGTAGCAGCAAACATAGCATCAATGCAAGCTGGTATGAGCGATGCGCCCAGATAAACGTATTGGTTTTTTTTTACACGCGCTGGTTGATCCCGAACATCAAATGAACCCACTCGTGGACCCATCAACTCGTTAAACCTCCAACAGCTTCAACACGATCGCTAATTTGTGTTCATGTGAAGGCTTTTCGAATTGTACCGGCATGCTCCTTATAGTCATTTCGATTGTTTCTGCTCCACTTTGCATCTAGATGCCTCGATGCTGCCCAGAATTATTATGAGCAGACAGCCCAGATGCTGGTGCGGAGAGACGGGCTCTTGCCCTGCGGTGGGGGTCGCCACAATCCATGCTGTGGATGTCTTACGATTTTGTTTGGGCAGGCATTAGACGCTGTGTGGGAGCAGCGGAGCGTGATGGTCCTTAGAGCCGCATGTCTGCCACCATTCGTCATTCTTCTGCGCAGACGCCCTGCGGAGCTGAACGCGGCGCAAAGAGTACTCTGATGAACTACGATGAAGCTCGCTATAACACCTCAGAAGCTGAACATCGGAGCCAGCTTCTTCCAGGTGAAATCTGCTGCTCGTGCTTTCTAGCGTTTTGCTTAGCTTGCGAGCTGTTACAACAGATAACGATAACACATCAACAGAACAGCAGGTGCATGGCAGATTATGGTTTCTTCTTAAGTCTTGGTGTTGGAGTCATGGCAGCTCGTAAAGTTCGTCTGAAGCAAGGACTCTCGGGGTCAGACACCTTCACTGAAGATACACCGTGCTCCCTTTGAGTGTAAATGAAGGGGACTTTTGGGACCGCATACAAGGTGCGCCTCACGAACAGTCCATAACACCTCCCCCCCCCCCCCCTTCCCCTCCCGTCTGAATTGCTCCGTATTTCTCAAAAGCCTGAGAAACTATTTTCCTCTGAGCATGGTGCCTGCGTCGTACTCAATTTCGAAGGTTGCGGAAAAGACCCTAGGGAGCACCTGTGCGTGGGTTTAGGGCTCTCCTGCTCACTTCAAGGCTATGGGCGCGCCTCTATTTCGGCCCGGGACAGCCCATCGCTAGGACATTGGGCCGGTTCTCTGTCAAGGCTAGATCACCAGCCTGCCTCGACTTTGTGGGAGCTCCCCTACGTGGGCTTAGAGCACATCTCTTCTTGGGCTTGAAGACACCTCACCACCGAGCGTTAGAGTATCTGTCTAGGGACGAGACCATGTAATCTGCCCTTCTTCCCTCACTTTGCTTCATACTGCATTCTCACGACGCTCCGTTTATTCTACTTGCATCAGCCACCAGCGGGCTTAGGTGCCTCTGGCGGAGGCTCTGTTCGAGCTCTGAGCACATACCCCATGTAGCACACGCCCCATATAAGGGATCGCTTCGTGGCCCTAGCATCAAATGAAAACCTTCGGGTGCATGTATCTCTCCCAATTTGCATCCGCTACCCTTCATTCTACGACACTGAAACGGTCACTACAGGCCAAAGGGGCTCTAACCCAAACCGAAGCGAACCGGCGCCCGCCTTGCTCACGCTGCCCGCGTGCTCTGGCGCCGTCTTGCTCACGCTGTCCGCGGCAAAGCATCGGTCCAATGTCCTAGCGATGGGCTGTCCCGGGTCGACACAGAGGCGCACCTAAAGCCTCGAAGTGGACGGGAGCCCTAAACCCAGGCGCAGGTGTTCCGCGAGGTCTTGCCCGCGACCTTTGAACTTGAGAACGATGAACGACCATGCTCAGGGCTAGATAGTTTCTTAGGTTTTTGAGAAGTGCGGAGAGGCTCAAACAGGAAGGGGGTGTTGTGTGGTGTGTGGGGAGGTGGTGTCGTAGACTGCTCGCAGAGGCATACCTTGTATGCAGTTCCAAAAGTCCCTTTCATTTACACTCAAAAGGAGTTCAGTATATCGTCAGTGAGGTTGTCTGATTCAAAAATCCTTACTTCGAGACAAGCTCTACAAGATACCATGACTTCAAATTCGAGATTCAAGGAGAAATCATAAGCTGCCATGCACCTGTTGTTTTGCTGATGTGTTCTGTGCCCCGGCGCCCGTTTCACTCACGCTGTCCGCGTGCTCCGGCGCCCGTTTCACTCACGCTGTCCGCGTGCTCCGGCGCACGTTTCACTCACGCTGTCCGCGTGCTCCGGCGCACGTGCTCTGATATCCCTCGCCTGTGGGTGCCCGCGTGTTTTGGTGCCCCCCCCCCCTTCATCTGCGTTACCCGCGTGTTCCAGCGCCCGTCGCGCTTGCGGTGTTGTGTTCCGGTGCCTTCCCTATCACACGCGGGTTGTCTACGTGCTCAAGTGCCTTCCCCCCTCCCCCCCCCCGCCCCTGGACAAGTTAGTTTCATTTATGTTAGCTCTACTTATTGGATTTAGTCGATGTTTTTTTGCAGAGGCCCTTGCAGCTTTAAAATGTATTCCCTCGGTCGAGCATTATCGAGACAAATACCAATGAAACATGAACTTAGGGGCCTTCGGGGGCATGGAAGGAACCATTCTGCCGCCCTTCATGCAAACCAAGGGAATATTCCAAAGTCGAAATATTTAAGGGACAGGTTGGTAACCGTCCCTGCCGTTCATGACCTTCCGGCTATATGTTAGGTAGGTGATGTAAGTGTGTCAGGTCTGGGTGCTTTAAAAAGAGTGTAAGAGTTTCCCGTGTTTTTACTCTTATTATTCAACAGCTAACGCAAAAAAATTCATTTGAAGTAAAGGGTGGGATTGCTTTGATGATTATTGGTAGCGAGCTCCTTCTCAGCGTCGGATGTAGTCACTCTTGACCTCGTTATGCCCGATCGGCTCACGTTTTATCGTCAGCTTCCGGTGGACACAACTTTGGCATGACATAGATTATAATCATGTGGCTTCGAAATAATGTCAACAGTCATACGTAAGAGTGCTAGTGTTGTTTTATAGCCTAATGAGCTTAATGGCAGTATGCATGCTTCGTACCCTGGTGGCCGAAATTATAGCCTCTCGTTCCCTTGCGCCGCAGGCTCAGAGCCGTCTCGCGGTCTCTCAGAAAGCTACAGCTCACAGCTCTGCCACGGGCGTCGCTACCATCAGCTGCGCCTACACCCCTCGCCAACACCCGATCGTCGTTGGTGTCCGAGAGAACGCACATGCGTGGAGCGTCGCCTCGGGAGCAGTTCAACTCCCATCGGATGTACCTGCCGACCACTACCAGAATCAAACTCCTCGCTGGCGTGCGCTGGGCGTCCGCTGCGCGCGATACCAGCGCAGTATGCATGCTGAGCTGCGGAAATATCGCGCCTTGTGAGCGCGGGAGACAGAAGAATAACGGCATCAGGATTAAAACTGGTCGCTTAGTTTGAAGTATGGGCGTTCCCAGCTGTGATATGGGCCCACGCCACCCAGCAATGGTGCGGTGGGGTGGACAATAGTGACTGGAGATTTCGCTGGAGCGAAGCCTTTCGACGGGTAAGCCGTCCCGTCTTTGCCGCCAGCGGGTGCTTTGTTGTATTCGTATGGTCATGAGGCCCGATCCATGTGTGATTTAGATCCTAGACCAGGCTCCAAACCAGTGCAAGGCACCGGCTGTGTCTCTAATGTGGTTTGTGAACCAACCCAAGGTTTGCGTGGCGTGGAGGGACATGTCACGTCAACATGTCAACATGTCAAGCCTCCTTGAAGAGCTGGTGGTGTGGGAGGCAGTGGTCTGGGCTGATGGTGAGTGAGGCAGTGGCCTGGGCTGATGGTGAGTGAGGCAGTGGCCTGGGCTGATGGTGAGTGAGGCAGTGGCCTGGGCTGATGGTGAGTGAGGCAGTGGTCTGGGTTGATGGTGAGTGAGGCAGTGGTCTGGGTTGATGGTGTGGAAGGCACTGGTCGGAGCTGACGTGTCCGGCGGAGGTGAGCCTGCTGGTGTAATCGATTACCGTTTGGGAGGCATGCGCTCGGCCGCGGAGCGGGAAAAGGCTTGGTCCGGTTTGCTGTGCTAGTCATCGGAACAAGTATTTGCCCGCGCTAGATCATCTGAACAAGTATTTGCCTGCGCCAGGTCATATGACGCGCGCGGGACGAATGGACCAGTGGACGGGACGTCACAGACAGGCCGGTTAGGTGTGATATGCTCGGAGTATGCGCTCACGCTCTGGCTTATGACCATACGGCGACCATGATTAAATCCTATTCTGATGGTGCATCGGTTTGGCTTGGCGACTTGGTGGAAACAGCTCCTAAAATCACAGGCATGCGCGAATAAGCAGCTCTCAAATTCATCAGGGGCTATCATGGTTAGCAGCGGGCACTCACGTTTCTTTTCTGAATCGTGCATTGGATACGGAACCTAACTGATATATTTCCAGCTATGTGGGACCATAAGCGTGATAGCATTGCAAACACAGCATTTCCCAAACGTCCTTCCTCGAAAGTTAATAACAAAGCTCGATTTCATGGCAACAGCATATTGCCCCAATATGCTTTGCATATCACAGAGCAGCGATCAACAGCACTCGCCACGTAGACATGGCTGGTCACATCTCCTGTCGGCAAGTTCGCGACGGCAATACAAATACATATACCATAATATAACGGTGTGGTAATGCCCAGTGGCATTACCTGAGCGACACGGAAGCTCGCCCAGCGCTCGACGAGTGAGGTGAGTACATCCTGCGGTGTATCTAGAGCACGTCTCTCGTCGGCAGGCCCATGTGGCCTGATGGCGAAATAGAGCTACGCGCAGTAACAGGTACTCGTCTAAAAATCAAACGTAAGCGACAAGCCAAACGAGAGGTCATTCAGCTGGAGTACGTCGGAAGGCAAATCATGTCGTTAAACACACAACGCAAGCGGCTTTGCACAATCATGCACATCTCAGCGAAGTCAATGATCCATCGTACATGTCTGTGTTCTCGCTTATCTCTCGCGATCAGGTAAAGATACTCCCGCATTACGGCTGGATGCCTTTGAGACCTGTGCGCCGTGAACATCATCGACTTAATTCGAGCTGCATGTCACACACGCATGAGCGTAACTCTTTCCTGGGACCCCACCGTCTCGTTAGTAGCCTTGGTTGAGCGATTTCTGCGCTATTTAATCGCTTCCAAGATGACATTCGTGAGAGGCTACTGGCGCATAATGTTAAATTACGAAATAAGCGGTAGCACTTGTTCTCCCGTTCTTCTGTGGAGAAGCCTTTGTCTCGCGGCCTCTTGCTTCTCAGCCATGGAGCTTTCATCCACAAATTGTCATCGAAAGCGAAGCGACCGCGCATGATGAATGGCGACATCAACAGACCCACAGATCACAATCAACAGACCCGCAGACCACTTGCCCCGCGCATCTGGTTACAGCTGGCCCGCTCAAAGCATACTGTCTTGCTTGGCGCTTGGCGTCAGCGCCAGCGCACCAGGCGCTGGCGAGGCGCTGGAGCTTGGCACGAGGCGCTAGCGTACCAGGCGGGGGCGAGTGGCCGCTCCTTAAGTACGGCGGCGACAGGACGCCATTGGCATCGGTCTGGCACCGCTGCCACTGCACCCGCGGCTTAGTCCGCTGCGAGCCGGCTGAAGGTTCCCCGTTGAGAGGCGAGCCGGAGCCGTCACACCCCGCCCTCATCAGTGGGGTGGCTGCTGTGGGTGGCGACAATGGCGAACCGCGGGCACATCGTATCGCGATCAGGAGTTGTGGCCTCTAAACTACTGGCAACACCTCCGTAAGACGAGACTAATCAACGATGCGGCAGTGATGCGCTGCCCTATATACCAAAGCCATTCCATAGCCGTAGCCGTAGCAGCTTCCCCGATACCAAAGCCTGGATACGCCTCTGGAAGCATACAAAATGGACCCGTGATCGTCCACTCGGAGCGCCTTTGTGTGGGGTCACGAACACTGTGGTTACAGGACAGCCGTCTGCCGGACCCTGCGCTGGATCTGCTGCTGGTCCTCCTCCACCAGCAGACAGGGCGTCGGCAGGGGGTCATTCCAGGGCTGCAGCTGGGTCGAGCCGAACAGGCAGAATACGGTGTTGCCGAAGGCGAAAAGACCGGCCGCCGTCAGAAACACCGTTCGCCAGTTGGCCAGGGATGGCTGAGGAGCACCAGGGACTGTCAGATCGGGAACGCTGTGGGCACTATTAGATGTTTCACATCCAACAACTAGGACGGCAATGAGACGAGACGTTCCAACTGGGACCGCTGCTCGTTCCATCCACACATGGAAGAGGGCCCCGTCATGCACCGTCTGGCGGACTGAGGCGTGCCTCATTAGCAGACCTCTTGCTCTCTCGGGCCAAACGAAATTGTAAATCGCACATTGTGACATTGACAGCAATGGACCATCACTTCAAACTAATAGCTCGTGCAGCGCTCTTCCGTGCCGCCTCTCGTGTGGCCTCCTGCAGCCGGGTCGGGCGTACTCGCCGGCCGTAGCGGACGTGCTCACCTGCTGGTTGAGGACGTAGCCTGCCTGGAACGGCGCGAGCACGCCGGCCAGCGTGGCCACGCAGTTGGTTAGGCCCATGAGCGTGCCGGCAAAGTTGGGCGCCAGGTCCATGTGGTTGATGTTGTAGCCTGTCGGGAGGGGGGGGGGGGGATTACTGGTGGAGGGCGTGGTGAGGCGTGACGAGCGCCTAGTGTTACGAATCGTGCGTAGAACTGAGACATTCCCGTCCGTGAAGGTTCCCGTCATTCCCATCATTCGCGTGAGTCAGTGAAGGAAGGGACACGCCGGCGCATACTCATACACCCTCTCGCCTTCGGAGATGGCTGGTGTCACGAGTTGTGATCTTTAAGACTGAGCAGTCGGCGGAGCAGACTCGGTCGCATGCACCTCAGTCAGCGGAGGTACGGCTTCGCCAGCAGCAGTCGCGGCGGGACTCTTCACTCAGCGAATGGGGCCTGAACCCTCGACCGATACTTGAGGCGATGACCTGGAACGCGCTGTACCGCGTAGCTTGGCCTGCTGGCCTTATTACCCGGAGCAGTTGTTTGCACGGCCGGCCGACGCAGCCCAGATAAGGTACGACTCCTGCCACGGTTACGGGGCGCCGTGGCGGCGGCGTGGCGCCGAGCCCCCGCATGGCAGCGAACGGCTGGGAGCGCCACGAATCGGACCGCGTTCGGCTTTGGCGGTGGAACATTTTTAGAGTGGAGCAACCCGTCACTTACATATTTTTGTATGCAGTGGCACAGGGCCAGTGCACAATGGTTATTGGCTAGTCCGTCTGACAGTTAACCGTTCTCCCGCCCCTGCACCGTGATAGGTCGCCCCCGCCAATCGGTCACGAACACATGGAGAGGGAAGGAGGCTATCTCTGCACGTGGCCGATTGCCACAATGCAGACGGATCAGCCTCGTTGGCGGCTTGATCAGTGGAACGGTAATCGGCATGCCTACTAGGTGTTTAGACACATGGAGAGAACAGTTGGGTCATACACAATGATGCTCCTGTACTAATCTGGTCTTACCTGAACAAGCTCGTGGACGCGGCTTCATAGATATTTATGAATTTTTATGGTCGACTGTCCTCGCCGGGACTGATCCATGCCATGGACGACGTGAATAGAGCCTGCTGATGGAGGGGTATGACGACTCCATACATTACATACTGATGGCGAAAGTTTTACCTCGGGGGATTGCAGAAGCAAATCGTCAAGAGCGAAATCTATTTACTCATACACATTGAAGCTCAACGTGCTTCATGAACTCAGCGAAGGCTGCTGAGGCACAAAAAAAGAAAACGAAATTTTGTACAACAGCAAAGTATGACTGCGCTCAACTTTGCAACACGCTAAATAGGTGACTGTTGGCTAGCATGCCAGTCAGGTAGCACGCCAGCCCTCAGAAAATATCGTAAGGTGCGCGCATTGATGACGGCACACCTCGTTTCGGAAAACCAAAGGGCAAATCGTCCAAACAGGAGCAGGGCCAAGGATAGCTAACGGGTATGTTTAAAAGGCATGCCAAAACTGTGAACCACTTATTCACAGTCCAACCGTGAACCGCCGTCCGCACGCCACCAAAAAGACATGCCCAACATTCAAAGTAATGGGCGATACAGCAGCCAGCTGACTGAATGAGCTGTTTCCGCTCCACTGATGTCATCAAATATGTTGTATATGACGTCATGCCGGCTTTGTGTCCAGACTACCACTTTTCTCACGCAGCTCGATGTTGCCACTTTTCGATAGTGTTAAATTGTACGGATGACATCCCCTGGGCAGGGCCTAGATAAGTCGTAAAGAACTGATGCGTAATGAATCATCTGTTCTCGTCACGTGTCAATGTTGTAGTTTACCTTGAGCGTCAGTTTGCAGCGTCATATGCATGGTTCATTTTTAACGTGAAGCACATGCATCACGTTTTTACTTTGCGTAATTATGAACTAAATCAGCGTGAAACCGGCTGGAGATCGCATGCATTTTTCTAAAACCTGCAGTCAGGGTCAAATTTCAATACAACTTCAATATATTGCAGCATTGATGACGTCTTGCGCGGCAAGCATACAAAACACAGGAGTCGAAACACAATAATGCAGACGTAAAATGTCAGTGAACAATCTAAGTCCTTCCCTACGAAAGGACGAAATCTGGCTGAGTTGGTTTAACTTACAACCCTTTTGGTAAACATAGCGAGCTTTCTAGGAAGTTCCAAATATGCGTTGAAAAGACAACCACCCAAATATCTGTCAACTGCCGGATGTTGCTGAGCTGTTTCATTTTGTGGCTCGGTCAGGAAGCTACTGGAACAAGGTCATATATGTTTTGGGTGTGTTCCACTCAGCGAAGCCTACCGAGAGCTATGATGGCGTCTTGTAGGGCCTTTTTCGACGTTACGAAACCTGCAGTCCAATTTGCCGAGCTTGCTCTCTACCTTCGTCAACTGTCCGGACATGGGAACACGCGGTGGGGAATTGCAGCCTCTTCTGACAGGCGGCGGACATGGTGGAATCGCGGGTTTGCAGCAGGGTTGGCAACACTTCGGTGGAGGCCTATAAAACCTCTTCCTGGGAAGTGGCGGTGAACAAGGGGGATCGGGTTCAGGCGGCTTTCTGGTAACAACGCACTTTTCCACCTCGTATTTCTGACCGCATGAGACTTCAAAGGTTTTAGTGTATTCTTCTTTCACTGACTCGCCGGTGCAAGGGTCTATGTATGTGTTACACCACTGTTCATCGTCTGGAGGGCCTTTTCGACGTCGAGGGTAGTCTTCATATGAATCAGAATACATTGGTAGAGACGATTCGCAACCCTTGTCTCTTACAGATTCTTCAACCCGCACCAAGGTTCTTGGCATAGTACCCAACGCATGCAAATTTCACTTATACTGCCACAATTTTCTGCCTGGATACGTTGGAACCAAAATTTAACAATATCTAATGAATAGCTGAATGCGACAGGAGAACTGATTTTCCAGCACGACTAGAGCACGAGCTAGATATCTTCGCACTCCTCTGAAAAGCCACACGAATTACATCGACCTGTCGTTGCTGTTTAAGTGTTGTCCAAATATTGCCCACTGTCGCATCGGCTAGTGTTTTATTTCTGACTCATCCTCTAAACTAACCTGACAGAACGCCGCCGTTGAAGCCCACTGTGACGACCATCAGAGAAAGGACAAGAGCATCATGGCACCCTGCGAAGGAAACTCCAACCAGCGCCAGCGCCGGAATGTACAGGCCTGTGTGTGACACACAAAACACGTTAACTGCCTAAAGCATGGGAAATCCATACACTGACAATCAGTGACTAATCTGACCGATCATAAACGCTGGCTGATGGGCAAAAAACAAATAAAGCATGAAAGTTAAAGAGCGTGTTTTTATCATCGTGTCGTTCACTCCTGATGGGCCTCATCACATTGTGTATGACATTCACAAGAGAGTAGTCTATATGCGATCCAATGTTTTTTTAAGGTTGTTTAGCGCAGTGAAAATGTAATACATATCAATCAGTTTGTCATGAAAGAACTGCTAACTAACACCTTACACTACTGAGAGTTTTTAGACAGTTAGAAGCCATGTGTTGATAGAGGTTTCGGGCACCGCCCATGGTCACACACAAAACCTAAGACATCACAAATAGGCACCAGAGTGCACAATTACACAAATTTTACAATATCCACACGCGACAAATTGTACACAAAGTATCGGTTTGGAATAGACTACAAGATGAGCCATGGTGAAAATGATCCTTGTTTTTTCTACAAAATCTAGAGTATTCCCATCACGTCAGGTGGTTATAATGGCCTGTGATTAAACGGTCGTCTTGGGAGTTTCAGCCATTGTATTTTAACAAGTATATGCTCGTTAAATGTTAGCCTAATTTGTCGCTTTGACTTCCTTACGAAAGAGACATTCTCCCTTTTGCTCAAACAAATAGCACAAGAAACACGATATACAACACCAGACGTCAAACATTTTCATTTCAGCCCCGCTGATCACGCATGACGCATTCGTCTACCAGATGGCCACTCAGGTTCACAAAAGTCCGGATTGCACTGATAGGTTTTTTACGTTCTTGATTGTGTTTGCGACGCATCCCGTATATTGACATTTTTATTTTTACGGTTAGGGTAGTTATGTGCACATGATCTCATCGACATAAGTAAGAGTAAGAAATCTATCAAAATCTTCAGATCTAGGCGGCTGCCGCCGCTGGTGTTGGGGTGGCTGATGACGTTGGAGCGGATGGACGGCTTCTTGATGAAGTGCGCGAGTAAAAAAATTATAGCCGTTCGCCTTAAGCAAATGTCTGGATATTGGGGTATAAATGGAAGCTGATGTCTTCGCTGGACGACAATCTCATGGTTCGTCTTAATTCCGAGCGAATAACGTTCTTTGTTGACATTGACAGGCATGGTGCACCGTCAACAGTAATTCCTGAATGGTTTGGTGTTGTCCAAAATCCCGTCGGTCATCTGAAGGCCACATCAACTTATACCAGCGCGTCCCAAAATGTTACTTCCTCTGATGAGTGAGTAACGTCCAGGGTGAGCTTGACGGTCGGGTGAAGACTTGATGCTTGTTTTTCATGTGTCACATGTATCTTACATAGGGAAGTCGAAATGACCATTTAGACTAAGATTTGACAAGCACATATATGCTGCCCAAACAAATCGGCTCAACCCCTATAGGAGATAATTTCATCATAGTCAGATCTCACGTGACAATATCCCTCTTTTAATTCCAATTTGCAAAAAGCCAAGGATCGTCATTGCCGGAAGTTTTTGTGGAGGCCTTTGCGTAACAAAAACGTTTCGTCATGGTGTAGTTTGTAATTTGTAGTTTTTGCCGTTGTCGTGTCGCTCATTAGCTTTGGAAGGACCTTGTCTAAACAGTGAGGCTTGGTGTATAGTTTGTCGTGTGTGGATATTGCAGCATTTATGTAAATGTACACTCTCGTGAGTCTTGGTGGTGTTCTCTCCATTTTGGGTTTTGCATGCTACTATGGGACGTGTCTGAAAATGTGTACAGAAAGATTCAAACTGGCTCAAAGGCTCTCAATATCGTAAGCAGTTCACTAACCACTTGATCCATGAATAACTGGCGATAGTCTCCACCGGAATAATCAAATTTAAACATATCATGAGTGAAGTCAACGCATGTCGAGACTGACAACAGTGGTCCAGGCCAGACGCAAAACTTCCCTGAGGAAGACTCGAACCCAGGGCCGGAGCAGGCGTCTGAAGGCGCCGTGAAGCCCGTGATTGGCTGACTTACCGACCGAGTTCCAGAGCTTTCTGTTGGCAGTCAGGCTGAGCCGACCGCGCGCCATCCAGTCGGCCACGAACGACACGCCCACGGCAAACGCCACCTTGGCCAGCTGGGGCAGCGCCGAGAACATGGCGTTCTGCCGGACGGATGGACGGAGGTTGAGGCTCCGTTGTACACCGCTCGACTAGGTGTCGACTTATCCCATTCGGTGTCGAGTTGTCCCATCTGGTGTCGAGTTATCTGATCTGGAGTCACGACGTTTCGATCTGGCACGGTGTCGGTCATGATGGTGCGCTGTTGTTTTTGTTGTTTGTGTCGTGCAAGGTGGCACACCGTCACCGTTGGACAGTTTAGCGTGCATCCTGTGATGGAGCCTGCGAGTAAGTGCGGGTCCGAAGAGATGCGAATCAAGAGGTAGGTACGAGAGATTGCTGTGTGTTTAGCCTAAAGCAAAAAGGTAAGTTAGCACTGATAAGCTTAACCAAATGGGTATAAACATTCATATGCTCGGTGCCTTTTTACAAGCATTGCGAAATGGGATCTCTCTACCAACGTTCCAGGTTGTGACGCTCTCGTTGCAGGCGCTCGCCACCACGGGCCTGTGTGGCGCGCGTGCAGCGGCCCCTCACAGTGTTGAGTGGGTAGCGCAGCGCTGTGCTGATGTACGTCGGCAGCTCCGTCATGATGAGGTAGTCGCCCCAGTTCTCGCAGAAGTGGACCACGACCAGAGCTTGGAACGGTCGTGACAGGAGAGCTTGCTTCCACGGGAAGTCCAAGGGCTGTGTCTCTAAAATGGTCCAGCAGTATGCGGTCAAATCCAGCGATGTGGGTACGCGCTGTAACTGGTTTCGTAACCCAGGTTTCATGCCTACATCAGTGCCTGTCGCCATTGGGGGGAACTTGAAATAACGTGCATGTCTATGAAGCCTCACTTTTAGTAATCCCTTGCCAGGCACGGGCAGACTTTGCGTTTGCTAGGCAAGGTTTGCTTTGTAAGAGCTTTGCCTGCCACAACCTGTCATCCGGTTTCGATTAATCAACGTGAACGTCGGAACTCATCCACCCAACTGCGGCTCGCGAAAAGATGCCAAGCTTCCTCTCATGAGGTGAGGCGTACACGCACGTACGCGCTTACACGTGCACCCGCACGCACGCACGCACGCACGCACGCACGCACGCACACGGTCACCTACCTCTTCCGCACTCTGCCTGGTGAGGGTGTAGATGTAGACGCGCTCTCCTGAAGGTGATGCGGGGGGTGGTCGGCGGGCCTCTCGTGCACCAGCAGTAGCCAGAGCACACACCAGACCAGGCTGAGGCCTCCTGTCACGTAGAAGATGGCCTGCCAGCCGCCGCCCCAGCTCCAGCTGGCCAGCGGGCCCGCCACCAGGATCGTCACGGCCGTGCCCAGCTGCTTGCCTGGCGCAGACAGGGACGCGTGACGTCCCAGGCCGCAGGAGAGAGGCGTGAGGCGTGAGGAAGGGGGCGTGGGGCAGCAAGAGGGAGGCGTCCAACGGCAGGAAGGTGCCGTGACACGCGAGGCGACAAGAACAGGCGTGAAGAAAAGAATCTCAAAGTAAGAGCTTCCCAAATCGTGCGTCATGCCTCGCTGATGTGGTATCTAACAGGTGGGACCCGGCACAGGTAAAACTCAATGAAAGCCTTCCATTGGGGAAGCCGGCGCTCGGGCTTCAACTGCAGGACCCAAGCCCGGGCCTGCGCTGCAGAGCGGCACGGCGCGAGACGCGACGGCGCGCCCACTGACCGACGTAGACGAATGTACTGATCCGGCTCCGCTCCAGCGGCGGCACCCAGCGGGCGAGCAGACAGTGCACGGCCGGAGTGACCACGCCCTGCAGGTGACGAGGTCAGGTCAGGGGCGGCGCTGCAGCCGGGAGGGCGGCGCCTGACAGTGCTGGGGTCACACAGTCCATCGTGTCCGCGTTTGTACAAGTGTTGGCTGGTTTTGTCTTGAAAGGCCGTTATGCAGTATGTACTTAAGCGTCTTAAATGTATATATATATATATATATATATATATATATAATGTCACCACATACAGCCATTGTCGTTATTATGCAATGACACAGAAGATTTCCCCAAGAAATGTGGAAACAGTGTGATGTGAACGGTCTGTCAACGAAGTCGAGCGTCGTCTAGCAATTTGCCGTCACTGTACTGGACGGACGGCAAGCATTGAAACCAACATAGCTATTTGAAGTAGCTGCCTCAACAGCTGCTCAGGAGGAGCACGCATTATTCCACGCGAGGGGGCACCGGGGGGAGGGGGACACGCTAACCGAGTCCATAGCACGCGTGGTACCCGGCCTGGGGCGTTACTCACACTGGCGAGTCCCTGCAGAGCCCGGACGGCCACCAGCGCGTGGAGGCTGTAGAGGGCGCAGACGGGGCGTCAGCAGGGTCAGCAGGCCGGTGGCGCCGATGCCACCGGCCAGGGTGCGCACGGCGCCGACCCGCTCGGCCAGCCGGCCACCGGGCACCTGGGACACCGTGTAGCCGGCGAAGTAGGCGCTCAGGATCACGCCTTGGGTCAGCTCGCTCCAGACGAACGGGCCGTCCTGCGGAGCGGTGTGAGTTAGCTCACAGTCCCCTCCCCTATTGTACCGCCCCTTCCCTCAGCTCGCTCCAGACGAACGGGCCGTCCTGCGGAGCGGTGTGAGTTAGCTCACAGTCCCCTCCCCTATTGTACCGCCCCTTCCCTTCTTGTACCGCCGCTTCCCTCAGCTCGCTCCAGACGAACGGGCCGTCCTGCGGAGCGGTGTGAGTTAGCTCACAGTCCGGAACAATAGATCGTTCCGGAACAATAGGCAAAATAAACTTGAGTTGGCTGCTAACAACCATCAAAACCAAGCATGGACTTCATTCCTAGTTTATGTATTTACGGCTAGCCGGCTGGGCGATGTAATCAGCTGATGGCTGGTGACTAATGCGGAATTTGTCCTTTGTCATTGAGAAGTATGACACATCACAGCATTTAAAAATATGTTAAGAACACGGTGCATTAGTAAAATAAGTGTCACACACTCAATAGCCAATGGAAATGACACATACGCCGTTGGTGGCACGTAAAATTACGTTCGGCAATCGCGCGTAAAAATTCATCGGCGCATACTTGGCTGCTGCTCTAAGGCGAAGGCACCAAGGCTAATAGGGACGGAACCTGAGCGATCAAAGGTGCCGCGCGAGGCCAACAAAGTGGCCCTCAACAAGTATAGGGTCCTCAGAGCAAGCGGAAAGACGCAAGGCCAACGTGGTGGGCCCCTAAACGATCGGTAGTTGCCTCGGCAGGCTGACATATAAAGCCCCGGCCATAGCACAGGACCCTCCGAGCAAAGGGGAATTATCCAAGACCATGGATTAGTACCTCTGTGCGATCAAGTGTGCACGGGTAGATTAGCAACACAAGCCTCGATAGGAGTGAAGAGTCCTCCGAACAGGACACCAAAGGGAAAGAGCCCTCGATCAAACTAGAGGGCGCCCTGAGCATTGAGTGCCTCCGGTGTCTTACCTTATAAGAGCCCTAGCAACAGCACAAGGCCCTCCAACCAAGTGGAAAGAACCTGAGACTTATAAGAAGGGTCCCTGAGCAACTGAGTGTACCCTGGCATATGGGGCTCCCGGAAAAAAAGTGTTTAGAGCCTTTCGGGCAAATGGGAAGAATCCGTGGAGGAAAAACTGATCGATCAACAGTGCTCAGGTATGGAGGCAGATAGCGTCCCAACAGCACATTGAGCCCTACGAGAAAATGCAAAGAGATCAGGGACAACGTGGAAAGCTCCTTAGCGATCAGCTTGATCCGGCAGGTGTACATATAGGACCAGGCAACCAACAGCGTAATGCTTATAGACAGCGTAATAAACCCCAAAATTTCCCTCAAGCAACACTTTTTCAATCAGCGAAGAACGGTCTTCGTTTACTTATGAGCTTCTTACTTTTGATAACAATGGTTATTGGTCATCCCATGGTCCCGTGCCTCCCCCCACCCTCTGCAGCCTCCACCGGCCCGAGCAGCTGAATAGATGGGGCCGCCAACAACCTAAGGTCATCCTTCAAATAAGAAATGCTCACGACGCAATGTGTAGTGTTCTGAACAATCGAGTGCGCCCGAGCAGGTTAACATATAGGGCTCCCAACAAGAGCGTAGGGCCCTCTATTCGAATGGGAAACACCGAAGACCCCATTGTAAATGCCCCAGAATGATGGAATGTGTCCGAACAGCTTATCAAAGGGGGCCCGACAAGAGCGTAGGGACTCCCATTGAAATAAGAAGTAGCGAAAACCCAGTGCGGAGGGCCCCCGAAAGATGGAGTATACCCGAGCAGATAATCGAGTGGCCCAGACGGGAATGTGGGGTCCTAAATTCAAACACCAAGACCCAAAATATAGGGCCACGAACAATCCAGTGTGGCCGAAGCAGTGAACAGATGGGGTCCCCAACAAATGCGTAGGGCCCCTCCATTCAGATAGGAAGTACACAAGACACAATGTAGTGGACCCCCGAACATTCGAGTGTCCCCGAGCGGGTTAACAGATGAAGCCTCGGTAAGAGCATGGGGCCCAACATTCAGAAATAAGTACCCAAGGCCCAGTGTGGAGGGTCCCCGAACGGCTGGGTGTGCGCAAGCAGGCCATCAGATGGGCTTCCGATAAGAGTATAGGCCCTAAGCAAGTGGCAGGGAATTAGAAACGCCCTAGACCAATGTAGAGGGCCCATGAGTATACCGCAAGTGTGTCGGTACTTTAACCGAGATCCACGTGAAGGGCCCCCTGAGCACCGAGAAGACTCCGGCAGTTTAAGACATGGGACCCTGGCTATAGCTCACAGAGCCTTCCTGGCAAATGGAAAGAATCCGTGGGAGGGTCCGTTATTGACAAGAGTGCCCCGGCACGCTAACAGGAAGGGCCCCAACAACAGCGCAAGGTCCTCCGGGCAAATGCGAAGAAATGAAGGGCAACGTGGAACGCTCCTTAACGATCGAAATGATCCTGCAAGTGGGCATATAGGTCCCCCGGAAACGGCATGGGGCCCCTAGACAGTGTAATGAGGCTTAAAATTTCCAGTTTACAACTTTTCCAATCATTGAATAATTTGTTGAGTTCTTACAGACCATTCACTTTCACTCATAACTGTTCTTGGTCAGCTAAAAGTCCAGAGATACCCAGTTCTGTTGCGTTTAGTGTTGAAAAAACTGCACCTGTTCGGGCCGGTCATGGGCCCCCTCGAAGCCAGTGGGCCCCATCGGGGCCAAAGGGAGAGGGGTCATGGCCCCGCGACACCCCCCCCCCCTCCCCCTCCCCCTTTGGGTCCGCCCATTTGCAGCCGAGCGCAATGCGTAAGCTGAGTTTCCTTCTTGCCGCTGGGTGGCAGCACCATCGCCCATGCATAACGACTGGGGATAACTTTACTCTGCTGGCCCAGGCTGAGTGCTTTATTGATTTTAAATAATAATAGTTAACTGTCGTATTTCTTTTCTTGCCAGTGCTCACCAAGCTATCCCCGGCTCTCCGTGTCCTGAGACAAAAGTGTGTCCGATGACGCCCCCCTAGAATGTCCAGAACTCGCTGCGCTGGAGCACCCAGAGTGGCCAGGTGTGTTCTGACCTCAGGCAGCTCGGGTCCCAGCTGCCAGCTGCGGTTTGCCCGGGCAGAAGTCGTTCGTCGCCGGTGGGGGTGCTGTTGTAGGTCGCCGTCAGAGCCAGCGCACGTGCCGTTCACCATGGCCACGATTGCCATCGACATGTTGACCCGCAGCGCGTACGACACGAATAGGCCCCGGCAGCCGAACAGGGCCAGCGTGTGGCGCGCGCCCCGGCCTGAGGACAGGTCGGCAAGGTCATGTTTCCTATGGACTAGAAATCGGCCCGAGTTTGGGCAGTATATCGGTCATACCTTTCCTGCCAAAGTAAACAAGCCTAGTTCTGGCGTAGATCTAGTCAGGGTTAGCTCTTGGCCCATGATATCATGGTCAGGTCTGCTTGGAGTCAGGTCAGCTCAAGGTCAAGGTTTGCTACAAACTGTACAGCTTTGATGCATGCATTCGATTATCTCGCCTGGTTTGAAATAATGTCTTGTATCCTCGCATACTCTTTCCTAAGCTCTGATCCATAGCTACGCATTCGTTTAAACACAAAATACGGGCTCCGGCCAAGGATCACCGTTCGTGATCCATCAAGGATCACCTTTCGGCATCATGAGCAAGTCCGTCGGGCCGTCCGTCAGCGCCCCGTAGTACTGGTGGTTCTCGTGCAGCAGGCATGGCTCCTCCTCGGTCGGCGCTGGGCTGTGCGCGGAAGATGTTCGGATGTAATGTGTCGGATACGACTACATACAACACCATGGTGCAATGTCTTATATTATGTATGGTGCGATGGCACGCGGTTTTCAAGTGATCATTGTGTGGGTGTCCATTTGTATGCTTTTTGAGGGCCCTGTCCACTCCCAAACTCTATTGTTGAGTTGTGTCTCCCCCCCCCACCCCCCCCCCCCCCCCCCAATGTTGGCTCGGCACCCTGTATTTTTGGCTGGCATATTAAAAAGCGTTGGGAAAAGTGATCTATCACACAAAGACAATCATCTGTGATCCTTCTTCGTACTGCTTCGACATGGAGGATGCAGCGGACCAACTTCACCCCGTAACCTCAAGAATCATTTCCTCAAACGAGCGGTAACTCGAGACATTGGGGGTAAACCATTTTCTGTTTGACGTTTGCTTTTCGTCTTGTCCTTCAAACTTAAGCACAGACGCTTTGTCTCACCAAGCAGCTCAGGCATAATATTGATTCCCCTGATTCACTGCTTCGTGGAGAAATTTCATGTCAAACGATCTTTGGTCCTCTACCCATGGTAGACTACAAAGCTAAAGTTGTTTTACTTCAAGTTGAAAATCCGCATTGTGTTGCTGTAAGGTGTCATGATCACTCAACGTTGTTCGTTCATATAAAAGATCCAGTCCGGCTAGAAATGAGAAACAATATGGAAAACAATACAAAAACTTTGTGGGGCCGATTTTCAAAATGAATCCGCGCCGAACATAATTCATTACCAGCATTCTGAACACAGCATCTCATTATAGTAATGCATGTTCAACTGATCTATTCGCCTAGATCCCTTATCAAAATAGCACGAAAAGACATGACGTTTTTGACGGGCCATGTACAGACACGTATTCCGGAAGGCGAACCTACCACTGCTCGTCTCGTCACGTCACGTCCGTGGTCAGCATACTTCAGTGCCGGGCCGAAGCTTTGCTTCCCCTACGACGGTTGGTGCGCCTGCGTGGCAATATACGTTCTTTTTGCGAAGTACTTTGTGCAGAGCAAGCCAGCGGGTTCGGAGAAGCTGTCACGTAGGTGGTCGCGTAGGAAGCAGTCACGCTCAGTTAAACTTGGATTAATAAATCGACACCATGGGTTAAATCTGTGGTATTGTTTTTAACATCCCTTACGTTTTGGGAGGCAATGTCAGGGTAATGTATAAACTTCATCTGGAATCCTGCGGTCAATGTGCTTGTCATTTTTGGCTGCGTTCTTTTACCATTGTATGGAGTCAGGATTCGGGAAAAAGTCAAACTTTCAGTGTGCAAGGAAGAAGTGCTTTGCCGTGTGCAATAGATAATGATAACCATTTGATGATGGGCGATCTACGCATCAAAGGCACACCTATTTTGTATGCTGGTCATATATCATTGTGTTGTGTTATGGTAATGAAGAACTAGCACACATGAAACGAAAATGGCTTACATAATATGATATACATTCAATCAGCGAAATTTACGCTCCCATCAGATGAGCAACAGCAGTTTATACTGCCTGTGTCGGTTAGGTTAAAAGTACAAGCACTCCCTATACTACAGTTGCATCAACCTCTTCGCTTTACTACAGCGGATTTGTGTCCATCTTATTAAAGCAGTTTGCTTTCAGCCTCAATCTCATACAAGCATTGGTAGTTTTGTATTCTTCAGCAGGCGTCGTTGTACATGATTGGGTATTGGTGCTAATGCTGCTTGTGATTATGTTCTGATTACCAGCGTCGATGTCATGACATCGCTGACCTGGAAAATGGGGAAAGATGCCCAGTTCAGACCCAAATGTCGCATGACGCTCGCGTGTGGCGTAAAAATTTTAACCTGAATACAGTAGCAGTTTTTACGCGGTTTGCTGTGCCTTACAACCAAGGATAAAAGATGAAATTTGTGCAAGACGTGTGATTTGGCCTCATGGTTTGGCCTTAAAACCCCGCAGCTGGATCTGTTTATTAGCCGGATGTTTACCACCCACAGGTACAAACCACATGGGTTTGTCGTATAGATCAGCGCGCTTAACGATGCTACAGCACACCTCTCGAAATAAAAACGGTGTTTCTTCCACCCCCAGACAGAAATCGCAAACATAGCGGGGATAAACGATGCAGTAAACTTAGGACAACTAAGGCCATGAGACGCGCCAATGTTTGTGAAGAAAACAAGGAAGCTCCGGAGTATTGCAATGATCTAGGTTCGCCATGACTAACCCTGTGTCCGTCCCCGCAACACAAAATAGGTGCCGCCGCCCACGGCTGCCACATAGGAGTGCCTTCAGTGCCCCCGGGCGTCCTCTAGGGGGAATTTCACTTTCTCCTCATCAAAGGGGACACGTGACTTCAGTGTCCCCCCCCCCCCTCCCCCTCCCTATAGATACGCGCCTGCATGACTAGTATGCCGCTCAGACAAATTTTGATGAGCTAAAAACTTGAAACATAAGTTGTCTTTCGTCAAAATAAAGTGGGCTAAATTCGCTGAGGAAAAAATGGTAGGTAGGTCCTTGGTCCATCGGTTCAGCCCCCTTAACTATTTACAAAAATTGACTCATCGTCGCGCAGTGATGAGAGGGAATATTTGCTGTCACAATGTGAGTTTTTCGGATCTAGTTCGAGCATTTTTGATAGGATAAGTTTGTGGGATTAGCGCCCACGCTAAGCAGTGCTTGTTGCCAACATGCGATCCTGAATTTTAGGGCCAACGGCAGAATCTCGCGGCAAAGCCCGTGCCGTAATGCTCGAGGATAACTTAGTCAGAGAATAGTTCAGCGAGTGTTAAGGCTATTGGAGCCGACCCCAGAACGGTTCGACGAATCGAAAGACAGGCATCTCATTCAACTGAGCTATGGGTACGGAACAACGCAAGAACAGACGGACAGACGGACGGACGTTGGATGCCGTTTGTCTATTACATAGGTTTTGTGTTACAGTGGCACTCCTCAGAAAAAACGTAGGGCAGAGAGGTCCAATCGTTCAGTCTTTTTAGCAATCGTCGCTCCAGAACAGCACATGAGCTGTAGCCACGGCGCCAGCTGCGTGCATTATGTCCGCCACTACGTTGCACTAGCTGTCACGCAATGGTAGCCGCGGCGCCAGCTGCGTGCATTATGTCCGCCACTACGTTGCACTAGCTGTCACGCAATGGTAGCCGCGCGCGCTCACCTGCTTCGCTTCTGTAACCACACCATGGTGACGTAGTCGGTTTTTGCGGCTGCTGACCTTCTGCAGACACTCAGATGACCTCTCGACCTGACTTCTACCTCCGCTGACTTCGACTGAACTTCACCTGGTCGTCCGCTAGCCTCTTGCTGACCTCCCTATGACCTCCTGTGACCTGTCTGGGCCTCTGCTGCTGCCCTGACCTGACCTGACCCGGCCGACGTCGCTCCGCGGGGAGCGTGAGTGCCCGGGACACTGCCCGGCGTCACTCGCCGCCGGCGACGCGCTGCGCCCGTTGCGGGCCGCCTGATCGGCCAGATACGCCTGTTTATCTGGCGCGCGGCGTGCACACAGCGCCTTCCGTGTGTCGGCGGTTGCAGTCGCTCCCGGTGCGCATGGCCGGTGGGGACACCGCGTGCCGCTTGTAGTTGAAGGGAGGCAGACGGATTCATTTCTAGTATGTCGGTTGCGTAAGGCTCGTGACGAAAGCCGAGCGATACCTCGTGTGTCATTGCGGCTGTCCTGAGACGCGCGAGCGCTGGGGGCTCATCGGCGGATGTGTGCTGACGAGATCACGGCACCGATCCAACCCCAGCCGACTCACCGGCAGATGCGTGCTGACGAGATCATGGCACCGATTCCACCCCAGCCGGCTCATCGGCAGATGCGTGCCGACGAGATCACGGCAGCGATCCCACCCCAGCTGACCCATTGACGGATATATGCTGACGGGATCACGGCACCGATTCCGCCCCAGCGCGGTAAGCTGTGCTGGTGGGACCCATGACGTCATATTAAAAATCGGCATCACGCTCTCGCGGCTAAGGTTTTATGATGTAAAGAAATCGACTTCAGTCACCCTCTGTTCATGGGCGGACCCAGACTGCGTTCTTGTGTCATTTTTGAGCGTCCAAGTCATCGTAAAGCTTTTGGAGGTCCGTTACGTTCCTGATATCCTCATCAATGTAAGGATACCTCAAGCCGTTCTTTCCCCATAGGTTCCCCGTGTAGGTTTCGGAAGAGTAAAGAGCATGACTGCCATAGCCTCTCCCCTGGATCGGCTCCTACCTCGATACCCTCCCATTCCCCATCCGTCCCCTACAACCGTCCACCTCTACACCCTCCCATTCCCCATCCGTCCTCCACAACCGTCCGCCGGTGGCATCGCCTCTGCCACCACGTGTGCAGCTGTCCTGTGGCCATCGCCGCGGCAGTCAACCCTACCACACCCAGAGGACCAGCTGGCGTCGGGTCCGCGTCACTGCTGGCTAGTCCGACCAAACTGGCGCAAATCAGCGCAGTTCCGCCACTTTGAGCCGCAGGCTAACGTGTGTTTCAATATGGAGATAGTGGGTGATCTCATCAGGTCTTCAAGTTCCACAATGGTCACGTCTCGCCATCCGGCCCACACTGACAGTGGTGTATTAGAGGCAGCGTCAAAGCCGATGAAATTTATAGATGTTTTAGGTTACTACTCAGAAGCATCTCCATCATGTAATAACTTCGCAGGATCAATCCATTGGCCTAGGACGTTAGACGACTGCAGCAAGAAGACATTTTGGGAGAGTCGAAAGTGTTTGAAACACTTTTAGACTGAACTTTGCAGTAGGGAGATCATTTTCCTTGATCTTTGTTCGGCCCGATTCTCTCATATCGGTATCTAAACACAGACGATGTAAGAACGTGTTTGGGTGGTGCAAAAAACACTCAGACATGACAATGAACCTCGGCCGAGT